AAAAGATTAGAACCCCAAAGATGAAACTGGAAAGGCTTTTGAGTTTTTATTGGGTACAAGGCAATTTATGTGGTCCACCCAACTGCCTTTTTTAAAAGTCACATTTGGACACATTTTAACCTCACAGAATAGAAGTCATTTGGTATAAGCTGTAGATGTTTGCAGCACTGCTGCGCGCGCGCTCTCTCTCTCTCTCTCTCTCTCTCTGTGTGTGTGTGTGTGTCTGTACACACACACAAAAATGCCCTCAGTGTCATTCTCCAGTGGAGGAAATTGATTGATACTCTGCAAAATAGATGCTTACTTTTTATTACGCTGTCCGTTTTGGAAAGATAATAAGCCATTTTTTTCAAGACTGTGTTGCAGCAAGTCTTATGTCCCAGCCTTGATACAGACTATATTCTCTTATGCAAAGGTACAGGCAAGGGTCTCCTTAACACCCTCTTCCAACAGTGATTCAGAGCACTCCCTTCTTATACATCTCAGCTGCTCACTTCCAAAGGGGGATCTATAACCCCATCCCCCAGTGTGAACATCAACAGAGGTTTTGACAGAGCCTTCCTCTTAATATGCACCCCAGCCACTCACTCTAAGACACAGACAAAGGACCTTTTTTTAACCCCAATCCCCTTAGTATGGCCAGCAACAGTGATCTTCTCAGAATGTTCTGTTATTCATTCAGCTGATTCTATTGTAGAAGCCAAAATGCAGGTAAAATGAGAGTGAGCAGATGTATAATGGAAGAACGATCACATCTTTTGTTGATGTTCACAGGGTAGAAGGAGGGTGGAGAAGAGCTTTTTGCCCAGTTCTCAACTCATCCAGAGTAAGTGGAGGGACTGTTTCTGACACTTTGGCCCATGCTCAATTCAGAATATAGCACCTTCAACTTTATGAAATATTATAGCTGCAAAGGTTGGTGTGTCACTAGAATTAAAAAACTATATATTTTGTACAAATACCAAATGCATTTTGACCATAAATTGATCTTATTCAGTCACAATTACACAAATATATATACACAACCCACCCTCTCAACCTACTCTGCTTTGTATAATCTGCTATATATCTTGGAAAGTTGTTTAGTTGTCCATTTGCTATGCATTTGAACACTGCTTAACATATCATAACAAATTTCCCATGATGATTCCTGAGATCAAGGGACAGGTCTTGGCCTATATTTGGATATAATTAGCCATCATTTCTGAGTAACATGAGGCACAAGGCTTCTACAGAAACAATAATGGTATGAAAGTAATGTCACCTGTGAAACAGACAGAACTTTACTTTTATATAGATAATTTAATAACGGAGTCTGTGAAACAACTATACTGGCTTCCAGTTTGTTTCTGGGCACAGTTTGAAGGACCTGCTAACCTTTAAAGTGCAAATGGTTCAGAACCAGGATAAGTGAAAGCCCATCTTCTCATATGCAAGCATGCTCACCTATTTAGATAATCTGCAGAGACCCTGTTATGTGTCCCTTTATTTCTGAAAATACACTCCATTGGGAGGACCTTTTCTGAGGACCTTTTCTATGGCTGTCCTTGGCTTGAATATTCCCTCCCAAGGGAGGAAGTTCTCACCACTTGGTAAATGGCTTTCTGCAAATATTAAAATAATCCTTGTTAAGAAGACTTTTGGTTTGTAGAATTGGTTTTTAACACTTCCTAAATTACATGTTCAACAGCATTCTAAAGTTTTCTTATTCTAACACTTTCACCATGCTTGCAATCACTTAATTTGCTTTAATATACCCAGCATTCTGCAATGTTATGATCATTTAAAAAAATGAATCTGGGCTTCATCCAGCCATTTTGGGTTCTGTTAAAGTACAGTGGATTCTTCCTCACCACTGTGAAAATGGTTGAGAACACTGGCTGCTAATGGCAATTCCACAGTGAAAGGAACACTGGCTAATATTCTCCTTAACCATCTAATGCAGGAAGAAAGTTGAATGTTTTTCTAAAAGCAGCACGTTTCTGCATCTGAAGTAAAATAAACCAGAACTTTGTTTATCAAAGTAATTATTCTCTGGGGAGGGAATGGGAAAGATGGAGGCAATTATGAATGACCTTGATTTGTATAGTCACTAAGAACTTCTGAATCAGTGGCTGACACAGCCATAGCTTCATTTTAAATACAGCTTTTTTGTTTTAACGTTCCAGCCATGACTACATGCTCATGAGGTTTTGAACTGGTGGGGTCGTGGTGGATAGTTCGACGTAGATGTTGACCCAGTGTGCAGCAGCTGTGAAAACGGCAAATTCCATGCTATGGTTCACTAGGGAATGAACTGATTGTAAAACTGTCAATATCATAATACCATTATGCAAGGGGGAGCGGGTGGCACTGTGGTCTAAACCACTGAGCCTCTTGGGCTTGTTGATCGGAAGGTCGGCAGTTTGTATCCGCATGACGGGGTGAGCTCCCTTTGCTGTATCCCAGCCAACCTAGCCACTTGTAAGCACACCAGTGCAAGTAGATAAAGACGTACCGCTGTGGTGGGAAGGTAAATGGCATTTCTGTGCACTCTGGCATTCGTCACAGTGTCCTGTTGAGCCAGAAGTGGTTTAGTCATGCTGGCCACATGACCCAGAAAGCTGTCTGTGGACAAATGCTGGCTCCCTTGGCCTGAAAAGCGAGATGAGCGCTGCAACCCCATAGTCGCCTTTGACTGGACTTAACCGTCCAGGGATCCTTTACCTTTAACCATTATACAAATCTGTGATATGATCACACTATATATTTTGTGTACTCTTCTGGCCACCTTGGATCAAAAAGGATATTGTAGAACTGGAAAAGGTTCAGAAAATGATCACGGGATTGGAAAGGTTGAGGAAAGGTTACATAGCATCTGGGGCTTTTTAAGTTAAGAGAAAAAACGAAGAGAAGACATGATAGGGGTGTTTAAAAGTATCCACAGTATAGTGAGGTGGAGAGAGAGTATTTTCTCTTCTCTCATAATACTACAGCCCAGGGTCATCGAATTAAGCTGAATGTTGGAAGATTCAGGACAAAGTAGTTTTTCACACAGCGTGTAGTTAAACTGTGGAATTTGCTCCCATGAGAAGTAGTGGTGGCTACCATCTTGGATGGCTTTAAAAGAGGATTAGACAAATTAATGGTGGATAAGGCTGTGATCTACTTCCACTTTTGGAGGCAGTATGCTTCTGAATGCCAGTTGTGGGAATCACAAGTGAGGGAGTGCTGTTGTGCTCAGGTCCTGCTTTGCGGCTTTAGGGCTTGCCATGGGCTTCTGTTTGGCCAATGTGAGAACAGGATGCTGCACTAAGTGGGCCATTGCCCTTATCCAGAAGGTGGTGCTTATGTTCTTATGGCTAGGAGAAAGAACATCATTTTTGTAAAGGTTTTTGCTGGGGATTCCTACATGACAGCTTTTGCAAGAGCTTGGATGAGTTAATTCAGTGTACCTGATTGTCACAAGTTGCATGCAATGGCTGTATGGTACCAATCCTTATGCCATTCCCCACTTGCCCATATACAAACCGAGAGAATTGCAGAGTTGGCACATGATAAAAATTTGTGCAACTCAGTAAAAGGATGGAGTTACTCGTGCTGGACAACTACATTTCTGCTTGCCTGCATTTCTCTTCCTCTTGTGCAGTACTGGGGGTTCCCCTGACCTTCCTGAGTGGATGGGGGGGCTCAGGGGGAGGAGAGTGAGGGGATCATTCCATTGGGCAAGCAGAAATGTAGTTGCATCAGTGGGAGACATTGTGCTGGTTTCTACTAGTGAGACAGGTTAGCTGAATCTGGCCCTAAAGCCAAAACAACACACTTAGGATAACCATGTTGCACAACGTGAACGGCAGTGTCAGGATGAAGGGATTTCCTGTTTGAATGTTCCTCTTCATAAGATAATGAAAAACAGAAATTAGTCACATTTAGAAAAAGCTAAATACTTTAGGATGAGGCCTAGATTACAATTAATTTCCCTACTGTGCTACTTTTTTGTGTACATGGTTTGGTTTTATTTGTTTTTCATTTGTATTACTTACGTTGTTGTAACTCACCCTGGAATCATAGGATGAAGGGTTAATAATAATAATAAAAAAAATTAAATGCATGTAACATTACCCTGATGTCACTTTTTAAACAGTAGAATTTGCTACCAGAGAAGCAGTTGGGATTGGTGAAGCAGCAGGAAGAGTGTGTGCTGAACCCTCTCTTCTTCCATTTTCTTGCACTAAATCACCTCTCCAAAAATAGCTTCTCACTAAAATATGTATCAGAGCAATGTAACATCCAGAAGTGTGGAGAATTTTATACAGAGCAAATCAATTAGATATCCTATTCTGCCACCAGCAGTTTGAATCTGTACAATCCCAGTAGGGCTGTATCACATAATCATTCTAAATATTCAAAACTAGCATGAAAACTAGCACAATATTATCTTACTTTGGGTTGAAACACTACTGAACATGAAGTAGAAGGAAATATGTTTGGGAACTGACATAGGCATTGCGGTACAGTAGGTGGATTGATTTACTTGTGCAAACTGAAAAATAGTTCTTAATAATGCTGGCATCCGGGTTCTCAAGTTTGATAAGCACATGCTGAAAAGTCCGTTTGTTTCATTCTATATTATAGGGCTCTAGCAATAAGCACAGATATTAGAAAGTAAATCCTGTTTCAAAACTAGGGCTTGCCAACACTTTCCATTAAACTAGAATCTCCAAACATAGTATCCAGTCAGGCTTATAAGCTGCCTTAAAGTGTGGATCAGGCCACTTGCCCAATGTTGTCCATGCCGACTGGCAGCAACTCTCCATTTTCTCAAGCAGAGTTCTTTTCAAGTCCTGTTACTTGACAGCTTTCTTTTTAAGTGGGAGATGACAGGGATCGAGCCTCAGACCATGAGCTTGCTAACGTCTCTCACTGCGCTGCTTCTTTCTCGGCTTTGATTTAGCAGTGAGAACCGCAAAGGTAACAAAATCCAGAGAGACCTGCATAAAATACATTCACCAGTGGGTGACGTGCATTCCTTTAGAATACTGGCATTGCCAGGAGAAGGTTGCTCTTCCTTAGGTGCAAACTCCTCCTCTTACTGTCCTAGAGTTCCACCTACAACGCAGGCCAGTGTGTTCTGAAAGGAGCTCACCCTCTTAACTTTTACTGGAATAGCTCAGAGGACAAACTGCAGGAACCCTCTTCACTAACCTCTGCTTCACCCCTTTTAAGCTGTGAGTTTGAAGTTGTTTTGTGTTGAGATATGTTTTTTTCAAAACTGTCTTTTCAGCGTTATCATTTTTAAAAAGCTTGTTTAACTTTTATGTATGCACTTGGCAATGAGTTACTATAAAGCAAATAAAACGATGTCCCAGCTGCCTGGAAGGAGTGATACGGCAGATAGCATTCACACCCTCATCTTTGTATTCCATTCCTTCAAGGATATCAGTAAGTAAACAGTACCGAGACGCTAATATGTTTAATAAAGAAACAATTTCTTGGGTCTCATGTTGTAACTGTGAGAAAGGTAACTCTTTCTTCCTATTTTTTGTTCAGGTGTTTTTCACTGATATTGTCCATTTGGTATCGGTCTGGATGACCGCCAGAGTCAGGAGTGTTCTGAAAACTTAGAACCGTCTCTATGGGTGTCTGTAACCAAGGGAGTTCAAAAGGTAGTAGTGAGTTAGGCTGGTTTCACCTGGGGGAGAGGGCTGGTTTCAAGTACAGGCACCCTAAAGAATGAAGTGTTTAGTGATGTATTAAAATTAAATCTCTTTGAAGTGTTTCTACTCCAAAGATGCTATCTGCTAGGGTACTCTCCTGAGACACGGGCATGAACTGGAGTTGTATCTGATGTGCTCTTGCACAGCTCCTGTTCATTTCAGTGAACTGTGTGGAGGAGCTCTTCTTGACTGAATATACCCTTGGAGCAGTGGGCCTCTGTAGGGAAGCGTGGCCTGTTTTTAATGTAGAAGCAAGTTCTTTCCTGACTCCGTCCAGGACATGTATTGGTGGGTCCAGAAACGCAGTACCAACCTCCCCTTTTAATCATGCAGTATTGAGCAGCTGCAGCCATTACTCCGAGTGCAGCATCCTCTTTTTGCTCTGCTGGCATAATGTCTAAAGCTCAGTCGAGTTTGCAAAGCTTTTAATATGTGACCTTCTCTCCTGATACAACAGCAAGACCAGGACAATCAGAAAAAAAGAAATCCTCCAACTGCCCCTTAAAGCCTTTTGGGGTCCACATTGACCTTCGCCTTGCTTTTTGATACAGTCTTTTTGGAAATTCTGTTGTGCGTGCCCTGTTGAAATGAGCAGTAGCGGTATAATTACAAGGGTTGGGCTAGATGATCATTAATATTTGGCATATAGTTGTTAAGGCAGTGATCCACTGCTGCCTCTGAGCAGATGTCCCAGACAAAAAGAAGTGCAGACAGATCCAAAAGGCATGTTTAAATCACACAACTTCCCTCAGAGTATTCTGGGAATTGTAGTTTCCCTTCACAGGGCTATAATTCCTAGAACCCTTAACAAGCTACAGTTCACAGGATTGTTTGGAGGAAACCATGTGCTTTAAATGTGCATTTGGTGTCCTTTAAATGTACGGTGTGGATCTGCCTTAAGTCACCATCTCTCCTAGAAAAAAGGTTATGGGGCAATATGTGCTTTCTGTTGAATGAGAAAGAGAGTGGGGTGGCCATCTTGTATATCCCCCCCCCCCCAGTACTGAGGAAGGTTCCCTATTGGTATGACCCCTGGCAGTTAGGTGCAGTCAAAGGCAATTATGGGGTGTGTCACTCATCTCACTTGAGGCTAAGGGAGTCTGTGTTTGCCCACAGACACCTTTGCATTACTATATGTTGGACCAATGACCTTACACAAATGCCCCCAATATAAGAACGATGTGATGAATGTGAAGCTTTATGTACACAGCACATGTTGTGGCTGTATGATCCTAGCTGTGGTGAAAGAAACCCTAGGGTCTGCAGTCGCAAAGTTCAATCTGTTAGAGAAGTAGGAAGAATGGGAGGGGCAGGAGAACAAGTGAGAAGTAACAATGCCTCGTCTAGAATGGTCCAGCTCATTGAAAAGATGGTTTGACTATATATGTACTTTAATAACCTACTTGCTTACTTAAACTTTTAATATTTAATATTTGTTTGTGTAAGGTTGACATCTTGCGGCAGCTCATGACAACGGTTTTAAAAATTTATTATTTTAGTGATTATTTTTATAATTATGATGAATATCCATCTTGCATTTGTAAGTAGGAAGGTGGCTTGGAACAGGATTTTTTTCTTTAAAAAGAAACTTCCTTCTACTGAGTCAGAGAAACATTTGATGTAGCCAAGTCCTATCTCTCAGAAGAGTCTCAAGCAGAGGACTTTCCCAGCCATGTGTCTTGACATAACAAACACAGGAAGGATTTCACTGATCGAACTACTTCTTCCTTGCTATGTGTATGATTTGATTCTGTGGATTTACTGCTCAGTTTCATTACACTAATGCAGTTCAGAGAGAAAAAAAGTCCCCAATGTCTTAACACCTGGATTATTTTTAAGTTTTAAAATATGTCTCTACATAGTCTAAGGATCCCAAGCCTATTTTCTCAGATGGTATAATAAGCATGCAAGGGCTTATCTCCTAATCAATGTAGCATCTGAAAAGAGCTTTTTTCCCCTGTGTGTTGAAAAATACCATGAACATTTTTTTCATAGCTTTCATGTTATGTGATTTGTTTAATGTTCTCTTGCCTTTGGCAAGTCTTAGAAAATTATTTTCCCTTTAAAAGGCCGTCACCTCTTAGATGGTGCAAGGGAGTTGTTATATTCCTCTGTTATTTTTTTCTATATATTTACTTATCAATTCTATTCTCTGAATAGTTGTTGAAAGAACAAAAGTTTGTAAATTATACAACACCAAACAGTGAATCCAGTCCATGGCAGCAAGCCCAGACACTGTCAGATGGTTTTTCCTTTTCCTGGCTGGTTCTTGACAATTATTACGGATTACAGAAGTGTTAACATTTCTGTATTTAAACATTTTTGGTTGTTGTTTCTGTTAAGCATAGTCTGTACTCTATTCTACAGCAAGTAGCCTTTTGTTAAACAGAAGGGTTGGCATTAAATTACTATATTTCTGATAGAGATTGGGAGTCAAAAGACCCAGGTTTCACTGTCTGTTCCTGAGCCCTATGTTAATTGTACACCATAATGTTTTTTATTCCCCCATGTAGCTATCAAATCCAAATGCTTTTGATTCATTTTATATATTAATTTTCCAAATTTCTTATGCAAAAATGAAATTAGTCATTTACTTATGCTTAAGGGAAAATAGTGACAAAGTATATATTGTTCTTTCTACAATATCATGCTTGTTTTAGTAGATTCCCACCCAATCTATTGATTCATTGGTTTGGGTAAAGAGCTGCTTAGTGTTCCCTAAAATGGAGTGATCTCTTATGAGGAAGTTACTACCATTCTGCTTGAGAGCACACTCAATTATCTTGACTTGCCGATTTTTGCCTCTGGTACCTACTTCCTTCTGAGGCTTCTACAAGGTCTCAGCACTCAGATATTTAATTCAAAAAGTTGCTATCTAGCAGCCCTTGCAAGGGAATATAGAATATGTTGTTCTTGATAAGAGCGCTCTAGCTAACTCTTTCTATCAATGACTGAGATCCTGGAATGCTGAACAGTAACTGCAGCAGCTAACAGGATGTAAATTACAGGTCCAGAAGCTGAATATTCAGTGTCCAGGAGTTTCTTAAAGATTCAGTTTGGAATGGAGATGGCAGACTACAGAGCAATCCTGGTGAGGGGTTGGGGGTGCAGAGCACTGGACTCATCACTCTATCTGCAGCCCTGCTGGCCAGGGCGGAATGGGTGTGCCCCCCTTTTTTTGCTGAACTAGCTGCGGGCTGCAGCAGAGAGCCCCTCACCAGAAAATGGTGGATTCAAAATAGCTTTGAACCCAGTTGATGACTAGCCCTGCTCTTCCCCTGCCCCAGTGGAGGCTTCAATGGCAGTGATGCCCAACTGAAGGACTCCTCTGTTTAATACTATTCCCTCTGAGAATGGATTAAGATTGCAGCCTTAGTCTCTGTTGCAGTTATCAAGTTAAATATGAGATCCTGGGATAAAGAAGGAATCAATAACTGATTCCCATGTTTTGAAAACATGAAACCCACCTATTAACCAAGTCTGTCTCAAGCCTAAGAGAAACATAAAACCTCCTGCTTAGGTAGAACTCGGATGCAAAGAGAAACACGGTAGTCTTTGTATTAGCAAAGCCAGAGATTAGTTTTTCATGATGCACTTTATGTGGAACTGTTTTTGAAGTTGGTCTGGTAAGTTTAGCTGGTGCAGAATGTTGCTGACAGCAGCACAGCTGCACTGACTGCCTTTATATTTCTGTGACCAATTCAAAATTCTGGTTTAATATGGATCCGGGCAGCAATATCAGATGGAGCATCTGAGTGTGCTTCTTCCAAGAGATGTCCACATGGGAGAGTTCCTTTTACTGGTTGTATTTCTCTCAAACCCCCCACTCCAAAAAAACCCCCCAAACAAACAAACAACTATGGAATTTTCTCCTCAAGTTAAATAGTAAACAAAGGCAGCCATGAGGGTCCATAAGAAAAAAACCTGCAAAATCTACACTTTATTAGGACCAATCAGAATTGCACAAAAAATTGAGCAATGTTTCCAGTTCTTCAGTGTATATACATTAATGTATAATTTGTAACTTGGTGCTCATGTTTAGTCTGAATTTTAAAAGAACGGAAATGAGGCAGATTGTCTTCCATGCGTATTGGAAAGATTGAAACAAAAGCAAATGTTTCATATCGGGAATACCTCTAATCATGTTCTCTTGGGACTGGTTTATATGTGCACATCTGAAGCAGTGAAGTCTTCCTTCGCATGTTGACTATCCCCCCTCAGTCTCATCTGAAAAGGCATGTCTCAAAAATTTAACCCTGCTACACAAAATTGCCAGTACAGTGGTACCTCAGGTTAAGAACTTAATTCGTTCTGGAGGTCCGTTCTTAACCTGAAACTGTTCTTAACCTGAGGTACCACTTTAGCTAACGGGGCCTCCCACTGCTGCTGTTGCACTGCCGTGCAATTTCTGTTCTCATCCTGAAGCAAAGTTCTTAACCCGAGGTACTATTTCTGGGTTAGCGGAGTATGTAACCTGAAGCGTCTGTAACCTGAAGCGTCTGTAACCCGAGGTACCACTGTATTACCACATCGAAATGAAGTCCCACAAACAGTAATCTAAAGGAAGTAGCCTTTGTGTTACACTTTGCTAGTCTCAATAGAGACTGGTTGACATGTTTCTAACTTCAAAAGTTCAGTAATGAGCTTGTTCTAGAACCTTTTGAAAGGTTGTAGCCTTTGTATGTGTTTGCCAAGCTTTCCCTTCATTGTTCCACAGTGCTAAATCCATAAATCATTTGCCTGACAAATATTCATGGTTTCTTGAGGCAAAGCTGGAGCATTAACTGGCATAACCTATTGAAATATTCCTTCGCCAAATCTTGATAAACGAAAACAGCTCTCTAGTAAGTATTGCTGTTTCTCCTCCTGCCACCATTATTTTGGCACAAGGGTGCTAGCTTTATGAAGAGCTTTGTTGCACCCTATGATGATGTCTTGCCATTCTATATGGGAGAGTTTTGGTAGTGAAAACTGAAGAGGTCTGTAAGGAAGGGAAAGAGGTGGCAACTAAAAACATCTTCTGTCACTTGCAAATCAGCTTAAGCAGATTGTCAGAACTTACTTTTTAGTTTTGATGTACATAGATTGTAAAAGGATGTTGCCCACCAAAATAATAGGATGACAAGAACAGTGCCAGGTAGACATGCCTTTAATGGAAGAAGTGGGGTGCAAAAGCACTAATTTAATGTAAACGAGCTTTTGTGAGAGTACAGCTATGAGAGTAACAATGCAACTGTATGGAGAACAGAGTTATGATTATTTGTATATTAAGCTTTTTTTAAGGATTAGGTGAGGTAGCAGTCCATATTGTCAGTTATTGGTTTAATACAATATAAAACGAAGCAGTCAAATTTAACTTCAGTTTCACTGAAAACAAATTACAATTTTATAATTTGAGAACATGTTTTTGAATACTTCTCAACACTCCCAATCCCCAGAATTTAAATCCAAAAGTTCTATTATATTGTGTTTCAACTGTGATCTTAGTTGACAGGTGAAATAGTAGTTTTGATTAAAATGCTTTCCACCAGTAATGATAGAGTCGGGAAATGACCGAATTCGTGATTATTACCAAGAATAGAGGCCAAATTTGCAATCAACTGTTGAGATCATCTATGTATTATCTCCATTCTCACTTGCTGCCTTTGACCAGGCTTATAATAGTCACTGCATGAAGAATACCAATGGCTTTAATATACTATATTTATCAAGAAATTCTTGAAACTCTGCAGATCTACTTCACAGAGAAACTGCTTGTATCCTTGTATTTGTTTCATGATAAGAAGGCATCATGATGTTTTTAGAAACCTAAGTTTTAGAATTCCTTTTACTTAATCAGGAATTTTTGGATGCTTATAGTGTAATGTTTCAGGGGAATTGCTTTTGTACCATGTATTCTGAAAGTCAGCAGAAAAATATTGCTCTTGGCTACTGTCCTGATTAAACCAGACATTTTAATGTGTATTATGATAGGTTATTTGATGGATAGTCACCTGTACCCTGTGATCTACTGAAACTTTGCCATTTGGGTTGAGCCTTAGTTGCTCAGTGTCATAATTTCCCATCTTTTCCTTGATTAATATTTCCTTTTGTGATCTGAAGGGGAAATGTCTGGAGGTTTCTTTCTCCTTACAGCAATCACTTAGGATAAAGAGGGGATGATCTGTTGTGCATTTTCCCCTCTTTAAAATGGAGAGATGCATTTTGTGGAAAAATTATAGTACACAGTAAGTTGTATAAAACACTTCCTGGAGTTGGCAAGGAGGAACAATTAGACAATGAATTTGCTTATGATGATTTTATATGAAAAATCATTGGGCTTTTCATATACTGCTGACTGAATTTCCATATTAGATGTCATGTGTTTTAAATGCAACTTTTCCATATGCAGTAGTCATCAGGATTGATGATTGATTCACATATGTATGTATAGTAGCTATTCAGTGACTCATGGCTGAATTATATCCATTGAAAAACACTGTATTTGAGATGACAGGAAAGCTCTGCCTGTAGTGATGTGTAATAGCTGTTTGACACATGCAAATCCAGAGAGTGGTCTGAAGGCACATGATACAGTCCAGCTGCTGAAACTAAGCAGATCTGGCTCTGGTCATTGTGCTGATCATAGCTTTCATATAGTTCTCAGGCCTTCTAATCAGAGCTCCAAGGAGGAAGAGGGGTGCTTTCTTTTTATCTCTCTCTCATCACTTCCTGTTGCAGCCATCAACTGATGAATATACAGTATGCCTATTTGAGGCAGTTAATTGCTTTTATTAACCCTTGCAAGTGCAAACATAATTGATAATAATTCTCTCATTTACAGTGGTACCTCGGGTTACAAACACTTCAGGTTTCAGACTCCGCTAACCCGGAAGTAGTACCTCGGGTTAAATACTTTACCTCAGGATGAGAACAGAAATCGTGCTCCGGCGATGCAGCAGGAGGCCCCATTAGCTAAAGTGGTACCTCAGGTTAAGAACAGTTTCAGGTTAAGAGCGGACCTCTGGAACGAATTAAGTTCTTAAGCAGAGGTACCACTGTATTTATTTTTCAGAATCAGTGACCTTTACTTTTATAGTAAGATTCAATTCCACTAAGGTAGAACAGAATTAACCTGCTTACAGTCCCCAATGAGTCTAAGCAGATGTGAATCCAATTCTTTCGGAACTAACCACTCTGTTATTTGGATTACACTGGCAGAGATTAAAAGCAGTTTCTGCATGGGGGCATCTACAGATGTCTTCTGCACTGGCAATTGTGAAATAGGTGTCAGACCTCTTCATGTGTTACTTGCATGAAGGACCAGTGCTGAGTGGCAGCACACATAACCTATCTTCAAGGTCATATGATTCCTCCTGGCCCCTCACATGTGTAGGGATAATGTCTGAAGAGGAAGCCTTTTTTTAAAAAATCCATGTAGGTTCACCATGTGATTTTGAACCCTGGAAGACTCAGTTACTAGAGTCCTGCCGAGCATACGAGATAGAAAAGGCTTCCCACTTCACAGGGATAGCTTCAAAATTTATTCCTCAACACATGAGGCTGGAGCCATGTGACCTCAGGAGTAGAGCTAAACAAAGATTCCCATGGCCCTTTTCATCTGTGTTTATGAGTAATGTGTGAAGGGAGCTATGAGCCACCCTACATAGGGTGTTCATTCACATGGATTTCCTCCAGTGTTTTATTGTTTTTCAAATTACCTCAGTAGGTCATTGCAACAGGTGAGGTGAATCCTTTTTATTTCTGGTTGTTTCTGCACTAAAAGCCACCCTGCCCACTACTTTCTTATACCTGTATATTCCACCATCCCATCAATAGAGAAGAGCTTCCAAGGGGTAATCTTTAGCAGGAAGTTTGACAGAAGTGAAAGATTAAGAAGGCTCTCTTCCTCTCTCTTTGCCCATGCCAGTATTCCACAGCACCTGCAGCCTTTCTGGCTGCATTTGTAGATAAAGGAAGTGGTAGTAAGGGAGTGGAAGCTATCTGCAAATGTGCTACATGCAGTTTGACCCTGAGGTATCTGGTAAACACAATTTATTGTTTTACATGAGTGGCTTGTGTTTAGGCATCTTGATAGCTGCCTTTGCCCCCCCCCCCCCGCTGTGTGTATTTATTTTTTTCAAATAAGAAATTACAAAATAAAATTGAAATGCATGCATCGCAACAGTGTCAGCACACAATAAAGGTAAGTTACGGGAACTAACAAAAGAAAAAAAGCATTTCTTACATAAATCATCAAATGAAAAGAATCCAAGTCCCTAAAACTCTCTCCTGCTTCACTGAGATTAAAATGCACTTAAATACCATAAAAATAAATGTTAGTGGTCATCATAACACCTCAATAAACATCAAAGAATATTTACTGAGTCTTAAGTAGACCATTTTAGGAATGTTAGCAAGTATACTCTAGAAAAGGGAAGCAAGCCATTAAGAAATGAGCCAGTCTAGATTGGCCCCCACTTTAGCCTAACAGATAAGCTTTTTCCATCACCAAACTGTATCACAATCGTGCCTGTTAAGTGATTCTTATAAGCAAAAGGCTCTGGTTTCCAGCCCTGTGAACACATAAAGCAGTGACAAGAGCTGTTCTTTACACAAAAGGAAGCTTGTCATGGAAAGGAGTAAAATCAGGTCCCTCTGTCACCTTACCTCGTTGTGGTTCACTGCCCTCCCTGCCCCATTCCAGCTCCACTACAGGGAGTGAGTCAGGCAGGGAGAAACAGCAGAAAGCAATAGAACATAGAAAGGTAATGAAGGATGGGGAGGTTCACTCTTGTTCTCTGTGCAGTCCCTTTTCAATCAGTAGTAAATCTGCACACCCCAAAATGTGAATAAGCAAACGTGTTTAACGTGTACGTGGCTGCATCTCATGTCTGACTAGGGCCACAGCTTTTTGAAAGAGCATGCAACCCCTGAGCAACAGAGAAAGAATCTTCTGTTTGGAAGGTGTTGTCACTGTACTTGTAGATATGTGTCTGGCTTAACACTTCCTTGCCACACCTTGTTAGAAGAGATTGTATCTTCAGTCATCAGGCAATCTGAAAGCAAAGGGTACACAGGAAGATTCGTGCCTGTCTCTTCATAGTTCTATTCATCATTGTGTTGTTTTTTTAAAGTTCTTCAGAACTGAATGAGTGGCATCATTATTTTTAAAAAGGAAGAAAAAAGAAATCTTGTGACACTTGACTTGAAGCAAGAACAAAGACACCATAAAAAATTATCAGGTGGAACACTGAAAAGATAAGGCATGAATCCTTCTGTGTACTTATTGCTATACAGTTGTCTGATGATTGAAAGGATGACCTCTTCTAGCAAGGTGTGGTAAGGAAGTATGAGGCAAAACCCTTTTTTGCTGGCACAATGCCATCAGTTTCTAGACGGAAGGATGAATTCTCCCATTGCTCAATACAGGAGATTCAGTTTAATGTCTGGAACAGCCTGCAAAATTTGTAGTCTATCAAGGAGAACACAACCCACCAGCCACATATGGTAGCCCACTAAGGGCTTGATAAACCCCTCCTATTTGCTGCCTGCCTGGCACTGTAAAAACTGTTGTTCACTGCATTCATTTTGTGGGTTATAAGTTGTGCAGACCTGATACAAGGCCATACAGCACACAGGAGGGGAGAGTGCTCTTGTGTTAATGTTCTGCTTGCCGGTTTCCCATTGACATCTGGTTGGCCACTATGAGAACAGGATGCTAGACTAGATGGGGCATTGGCCTGATCCAGCAAGTTATTCTTAGGTTCTTAATATTTAAAGTGACAATATATTTCAGGTGCTTGACATTCCCTTCTGCTTTTTCTAAAACTGCTTCCCATGTATCATCATCATCATCATCAAAAGTAGTAGTGGCAGCAAATTTAATACATACCCTTTACCAGCAGGTTCCAGGGCAGGTTATAACACTTTACAATTCAGTATTAAAAACAGTTACAGCAAATTAAAGTCTCAATAATAGAGTGGGTGTTGAAAAACACATCCGATATGTCAAAGGCTAGATAAAATAAGAGTATCTTTGGCATTCCCTAAAAGCTGTATAATGAAGTTCCTAGGCATGCACCTTTGTGGCAAGGTATCATCCACGTATTGGGGACAATTCCTTCCAAAACCTCTGAGGACAGCTCCTAGCAGTTTCATATATATGTCAGGTAGCATGGGGGACAAGATGGAACCCTGCAGGGCATCACAGGAAAGCCCTCATAGTGTTGAACGGTGGCCTCCTGGAACTACTTTCTGGAAACAGTCTTGGAGGTAGGAGCAGAACTGTGGAGGGTACAGCGCCTTCAGTCCCTACCTCCCTGAACCATTCTATATTTTTTTAAAAATAATTTTTATTAACAGGCCAATCAAATCACATTAATTCCAAATCACATTAGTTCCAAATTATACAGCCAAATTTTTAAAATTTTGTTGGGGGTACCCATACTTCGAGCTCCGAAAGGGATCCAAACATCACTCTTGCTGCTGCTTTAATTACACAGTTCTGTCCAGTTCTGTCCAGATATTCTCTTTGTTATTTTCCTCATCTTCTTGTTGTTATCATATATTCCTTTCTTTGTGATCTCTGATAATCTTCACAAGCGGGTTGAAAACAAACATATCCTGTGTGGATTTTACACTCTCCAAGAGCCATATCACATAAAGGACAGACGCCATTTCCACATCTCCGTAAATAACATTCCCACATTCTGTCCGTTGATTTCCACAGGCCTGTCAATCTGTATCTCAGGGGGCCCTGCCAGGTCAAATTCACATTCCGATAACCATACATTCACATTCCGATGACCATGGTCCTCCTCCCCCTCGTCCTCCTGTAGGCAGGCCTGTCTTAAGGAATCTCCATTTGTAACTGCGTCACAAAGCTTTCTTTCCATTCCCAATGATTCCCACCAGTCCTCTCTTTGATCAGTAATTCATTTCCACACAGTTCTTAATCTCCTGCTTGTGATTAGTAATTTGCAACGATTCTTTCTCTCTGGGGGGGAGGGTTATTGGGTACTCACATAAGGCAAAAAAAAAAAGTTTTTTCCTCCCCCCCCTTTCCGTTTCACTCCGACATACAGATCTTTTAATGATGAGTCTTCACTTAATTTATTGTCCAGCCCGTTGCTCCATATCACAGAGATCCCATTAATCAGCAGTCTTTACTCCCGATCTTCACTTGAAGTATGTGCATTTGCTTCTTTTTCCAATTATATATTTCGAGCTGATGCAAACCAGTGCGCGATTAGAGACAGCGTCCGGGAGAGCCGACCCCACCCGAGGGCTTCGTGCCTAGTGCCCTCACCCCCTTCTTTCGAATCCCGGGGTGAATTATGGGCACAGCAGGCAAGGCAGTGCCCCCCATTCCCTTGGGGGGCAAGGGAGGCTGCATACTCCCATATCAGCCTCTTAATTACCTCGTGTGGGTCGGAGAGATGTTATTGTCGGCTATCTTCCAATGCGCCCCCTGGTGCCCCCCCTCCCTGAACCATTCCAGAAGCATACCATGGTCATGTAGAGAAGCCAAGTGCTATCACATAACCAGGGCTGCTTAGCTTTCTGTGGGCCCCATGTTGGAGGCCCCCAGTAGCTCCTCCATTGTCATACAGATGCACCTAGGTGCTGCCTGCTGCAGGTGCTCCTCTTCCTCCTTGCTGCTGTCCATCGGCTCTCTTTTACCTGTAATTCTTTGGCATTCCACTCAAGCCACGATATGTGGGCAGCCTCCACGGAGGCATGGCAGGAGCTGAAGTGTGGGTGGTGACCTGCAATCATCATAAATGAAGACTGGGCAGCAGATTTTCACCAGCTGCTCAACAGTGCTACCTGCTGGCTGCTGGCAGCTGTGAGCTCAGCCAACTAACCTACAGCTCACGTTAAAAACAACCAGTTCAAATTATCAGGCCTGCCATCAGTTTTGATGCCTTGACACTAAGATGCACCCAACTGCAAACCATCTAAATGTAGGCTTGTAGTACTCTGTTGAATATAGATAAATGGCTTGGCAGGTAGCGGCAGATGCCATGTTGTAGCTTAGTAGAGCCAGTCTAGTTATCTTGATAAAAGATGACAGTTTTTCTAGGGAAAGATGGTTTTAAAAGCAGCATGAGTTTTATTAGCTGTGATAAAGGATTCTTTAGAAATCGGGATAGACAAGACTAAAATCTAGGTGGTGATTCATATGTTGTGCCTATTTTGTACACCTGACAGGAAGGGTGTGTGGCAAAGAACAGAGGAAGGTTGTGTTTCAGCGTCACTGAGTTATCTTATATTATTTCTATATTGTTTCCTGTGATAGCTTATGTTACCGTGAGTCACTACTTCCTTAAAAAATAGAAATGCTCACAACTAAATGGGGATTTCAATAGAAAACTTAAGTGCCATTGTGTTATCTCTGGATAAAAAGAGCCATTAATATGTGTCAGCGTCATCCAGGAGAAATATGATTCTGAACCTTGGGTGCTGGAATGTTCTGGTAAACTTCTTTTGTGTACCCTCAGACTTTAATCACAGCACTGTCAAGTAGTATCTCAGGTTTTGCCTGTATTAAAGGTTTTGATTTCACCTCAATTCACGAGCACAATCATTTTATAGAGAGGAAGTGAAGGAATGTTACCACAAATGAGTGGTCTTCTCTAATCACACAATTGGCACAGATGGTTTTTCTTTCTTACATCCACATCCATTGTGAACGCAACACAATTCTCATCTTCTCTCTTAACTTAGAGACACATGAGGTGGGAAACTCTCTTGTCCTGCCTCCTTCTCTTAGACAGCAGATTGCAGGAGTAAATAAGTGTGGGAGATTGGGAACAGAGGGAAACAAAGAGGCACAGGACATGGGAGCAACAAAGTGGCGGAACAGAGCAAAACGGGGAAGGTTAAAGTTAAGGCCTAGTGAAAAAGAATGAGAGTCCAGTGTGGTCCTCTTGATGTACAACACCTTTGTGAATCACCCTCTTAGATCTGCCATTTACTACTGTGGCCTTTTAAAAAGCCTAATAAGTTTTCATTTTCATTTTTTATTTTACTACTAACAATTCTGGTTTAAGAGAAAGCTGGATGTGGGGCCAACAAAGGACGGGGAGGGGAAGGAGCTTAATTATTTTATCCTTCATCAAAAGATCCCAAAGCAGTATACAGTGGTACCTCGGGTTACATATGCTTCAGCTTACATACGCTTCAGGTTACAGACTCTGCTAACCCAGAAATATTACCTTGGGCTAAGAACTTTGCTTCAGGATGAGAACAGAAATTGTGCTCCGGCGGCACGGCAGCAGCAGGAGGCCCCATTAGCTAAAGTGGTGTCTCAGGTTAAGAACAGTTTCAGGTTAAGAACGGACCTCCAGAACGAATTAAGTACTTAACCCAAGGTACCACCATATACAGATTTGAAGAGTATGATTTATGTACCATATAAATTCAACACAAAAACAACCAATAAACATAACTATGTATATGTGTGGAGTAAGCCACCCACTAGTGTTCACAATCTAATGGCTTATTGTGGGCATTAGATGCTTGTTATCAAAACAGAAAAACCCCCTAAAATGACAACTCTAGCCTTATTTGAGTTCTAAAGTTCAGACTGTAGTCTGGATTTAACAAAAGAATGTGCATTAAGGCAGAGAACCATGTGGAACATTGGGTCAGGACTTTGTGATTTTGCAGGAACAGTTACTGCTGCTTTTCAGTTTTAAAACAAATTAAGCATTAAGTTTGGTTGCTCACACAGTTTTCTCTGTCTTCTTTGGAACCTGGCCACATGTAGTATGCACTCTGTGCAAAAATATAAAAACCTAAATTTTGTGCCAAAGTAATCCAAATTCTGTGCAGAGAAAACCTGGATTGTTTGGCCAGTAAAAACTATGCATTTTGTGGGCATTTGCATTTTGTGCTGATTTTGTATAATTTATATTGCATATCATAGATGTGGAGTGGCAAGAATCTACACAGGGTGCTGGAGCTCCAATTCTCAACATCGGAAATCTTATTCAGGCATATATTTTGCTTCCAAGAATGATAGATAGATAGATGGTTGGTAGATAGATAGATAGATAGATAGATGGTAGAAAAACTTAGGAAGCTGAGTTTTAAGATCTTAAACAAATTCTGTGTTTTCTCTCTGCTTTAGGAGAATTACAGGATTCACATAGCCCTGGCCAAAATCTTCAGCATGTTCTGAACAGTTACTACCTGATGTGTTATTTGTGCACTTTCTTTTTTCATGTTCATAGAGAAGGAGCGCAAAAAGCTTATCAACCTTAGTCACTTTTATAGCAGGACCATGTTGATCATTTTATTGTCCTTTATGACAACGCAGTCTTCCTTCTAGAGATTTAG